GGGGTTTTTTGAACACTTTAGATATGAGTTATGGGTCTCAAATTTAGGCTTTTTGCTCCTCAAGTACAAGTTGAGGAAGCAAATTAGCCATTAGTCCTCAAAAAAATTTGAAAGAGTAATTCATTTAGAAAACCCTGACCTATGCGTTTTGTATCAATTGCACTCCATTTTAATCTTAACCTCCTGGACACCCTAATTTGAAGGGTCAGTAATAATTGTACCCTAATTTTAAATCAGGGTCTAAAAAACAATAAACAATACATATGTGGGCCTCAGATACTGATACAAAGGTTAACTAACCAACCCACTAACTCTAATTTACAACGCACTATTTGGAGAAAGGAAAAACAAACCCTTAAAAAAAATAACCCACGATTGCTTCTCAAAATCCCAAAATCATGAGCAAGAATGTTGGTCCTGAAGGAGCTAGTCATGGCCACTGTAAGAACAAGAAGGTCTTTGTGACCTTCTTGGTGACCCACTTGATCAGGTTTGCTAATTTTTCGTTTCGTTACATTCTTTACTTTGTCGGTTGGGTTGATGATGTTTTGGATTTTTTTGTTATTATCAATATTTTTATTTGATGTTTATGGGTTTTTCTTGCTGGCCTTCCTCTTTGATGTTTATTTTTAACTTTTTTTCAGCTCTGCAACTTGCATATTTACAGTTCAAAAACCATATTTAATTATTTTTACTTATACAAGTGGTCCACTAATTTGGTATTCCTATTTTGAGATTTGGTAGTTTCACTTTGAGTTTAAACGTTTCTATGTTTGGATCAGGTGGTCTATATTTTCCTAAATCATTTACTATATTCAAAAATTGAGTTTGTCCCATGGACTTAGGATAATTTTGCTATAAGAAGCAGTTATTTAGCTTTTAGGGTTAGTTTTTTCCTTTTTCCAAATGGTGTGTTTTGAATTAAGGTTAGTGGGTTGATTAGTTAACTCTTATGTAAGTATATGGGGCCCACATATGTGTTGACCTTTTAAATTGTGGTGTCCATGAGATTAAGGTCAAAAAGTGATGCAATTGATATAAAACGCATGGGTCAAGGTTTTTAAATGAATTACTCAATCTATGTATATAATCATGAAACAAAAAATATTTTAAGAATGCTAATGTGTCACTCTACTCTTTGAACATTCCTATTTTTCTTTTTCACAAATTTTTGAGCTTTTTTTTTTCTTTTTTTACTATCATTTTTATAATTTGATTGGCCACTAAAATATTTTTTAAATCTAAAATTAAAATATTTTTAAAATTTTGAAATTTAAACTTATCTATTTAAAATTGTCCAGCTATATATATTCTCTTGGTTGAGTCTCAATTCTCTGTATATTTTTTTTTCTTTTACAATAGTTATTCTCTATATGTTTTTTTTATTTCATAATGGTTTCTTTTTTTTTTTTTTTTTTTTTTCTCTATACTGTTTTTTTTTATTTCATAATGGTTCTTTTTTTTTTATTTTTTTTTTTGTTATTTCTTCAATTCAATTCTTTTTTTTTTTTTTTTTTTTTTTTGTTATTTCTTTCAATTCAATTCATTAGATGATTATGTGTATTCAATTGTTTTTTCATATTTGCATATAGTTGCTACATCACCCAAATACTCCAAGGCTAGGTATGGTGAAATTGTGAAGAACGGTGATACTAGGTTCATGAAGATGATTCCAACCAAGTCCATGGTGGTGGAAACCTTCTCCCATTGGGTTCAATTTTTTGCTAGGGACATGCGCCATATTGTTGCTATTAGTCTTATTAAGATGTTGAGAAAAAAGACCCAAACGAAGCTAAGGTGACCAAGTTTATTGCCAAGAAGAGAGGAAAATGAATTCTGCAATCCATAATTTTCAATAATTATACAGAGATTTTTTTTTTACTATTGTAATTTTGTCAGATGTTTTCAGTGGATAAATGATAAATGGGTTTTGGGTGTTTATTTTAGTTTGGTGTTTGCGATTATTTTGATTGTTTTATGATTTAGTTTCATTTTTTTTATGAAATTAACTCTCATTTTGTGATATTTGCATGAGTTTTCAAGCTACAATCTCTTTCGTAAGCTAAATAAGATAACCACCATCCTAATGAGATGCATTTTTCAGATATTTAATCATTATTGATTCTTTTTTTTAAGCATTTGTTTTGTCCTAAAAAAATATTTATTTTTTAAAATTTAATTTATTTTTTAAATTTAATTTATAACATACAATGATAGATATGTATAGATAATTTTTTTTTCTATTTTCTTATCTTCCTATTTTGTTATCAATATCTTATCACTTTAGATGTTTTTCAAAAATTTAATTTATTGTTATTAGATAATAGAGGCTTAAATGAAGAGGAGTTCTTATCTATGTGTATTATTTTTTAATTTAATTTAATTTCTTTTAAAGGATGCTTAATTACAGATTGATTTTTCTCAACAAATCATGTGCTACTATCTTAGAATATATTCTCTTACTTTTATCAATTGTTAACTTTTATCAACGTGATTAGGGTATAATTCTTTATTTTATTATTTTTTTTTTGAAAAGATCTTTATTCTTTATTTTAACTTTGAATTGGATTGTCAAAAAATACTTGTGCAATGCGTGGGCTTTCATCTAATTTTAAATTAATTTAGAATGGATATGAGTATCTAGAGGTGTAGGTAGTGCAAACTTTGCGGTTACGGTCTCACTTTCATTCCTACTCTAGATCAATATACAACATTTATTGTCTGGGTATGATAATTTTATTTTCCTGGGATAATGATAATTTTAATGCTTGAACTTTCACATTTTTCTATTTGAGTGTCTGATTGGAAAAATTTTTCAATTAAGTGCTCAAACGTTTTAATTGAATCAATCAAGTGTCTGTTTCTAAATTTGATCATCGGATTACTGAATTAGCATATACGAGCCCCACAATTGCTTATTTGGTAGTTGATGCGTACTAAAAAACATGCCAGCTAGCCTCCACGTGGATGCACTGATGAATTCACATAAATGTCATTCGTTAATCAAATTATGGATACTTAGACTTGAAAAGATCTTTATTCGATGCTCTTCCTTCAGCTAGGCTTCTAAATAGCGGAAAATCCCTTAATCTCCACTTTCTTGAAGAACATTTTGTTGTGTAAAAATCGGAGATGAAGAAGAAGAAGAATTAGAATTAGATGAAAGTACTGAACCTTTTGAATTTGGAGTTGCTGCTTGTTGATTAGTGAGTTCTTGTAACCTTCGTCTTCTTCTCATGGATATTCAAAAACTGTATATGAGAAAGTGATCTTACTCCTACATAGCTTAAACTAGATCCTAATGCTAGAGTTCTCTCTCTTTATTATTTTCAGTCTTCTTTCGAGTATTTTCAGCTTTCTTTCGAGTATTTTCAGCTGCTATAGCAAATAGATTTTTTTTTTTTTTTTTTCTTCTTTCTTAGCGAAAAAACTTCTCGAATAATCTTTTTGTCTTGCTCTATTGGTGAGCTAGGTAACTTTAGAGATATAGGTGGACTTCTCTCTTTTATTTGTAATTGTGATGGGGCTTTAATGGCTTGATTTTAGCTACGTGGGACAAAGAATTTTTTTCTTATTCCGACTTGAAATCAAAAGTTAATGAATGAGAAGATGATGAATTATTATATTTAATTAGATCATATTGTGATTAAGATTTAAATGTCATTATTTTTATTAACTAAATATTAATTATTGAAAAAAGGAATATGTATAATTTTTTGAACATGACAGTAAAGAAAGAAGAAAATTGAAATCGTAAAGAGTTGTGGAGCATATATAATTATATTTGCTGTTATCTCTTAAAATTTGTTTAGAAAGAGCAAATATATAATTATGTAGGAACTTGGATTAGAAAATGTGGAGCAAAATAGAAAAGAGTGTAAAAGCAAATTTCTTCAAATCAGTGGAAAAATAAATCACAGAGTATAATGAAGGTGAGGATTTCCACTATAATTGCCCAGAATGGTGGGAGGCACAGACACTGCTCTTTTAGAGATAGTCAACTTTTTTACGAAATAATATAATTTATAGCTTTTAGAATAAATGATTAAAAAATTACTTCTCTAAAAAAAAATAAAAAAAAATTTACTAAAACGAACATCGATATTTTAGAATGAAACTGTAGAATATATGAGAATCTATATCTATTTATCTATATAAATATATAATTTATAAGGCTTAAATGTTTATGTGTCAACATATTAAAATATAGAACTGATGATGTGATATTTTATTTTTATATTACAATTAATATTTTATTTATATTTTAATAAAATAATATTTTTTATTAAAATACTGGAGTTACAAACTAATAAATTTGATGGATGATTTCATTATAATTAATATTTAAATTTTAATAAATATTAAGTTTTTTTATTAAATAAGTTTTTTCCATAAAAAAATAGAGTTTAATAAAGTCATAGTTAATAAAAATTAATTAAATAATGTAGTTAAAATAACAAATAGAATTAAAATATTAATTTAAATTCACTAAAATGTTTCAATTCAAATTAAAATATTCTTACATCTCATCTAATTTGAATATATGAAAATTTTCAAAATTATAATAATTGAATTACAATAATTTACTTACAATGATTAATTGTGCTAATTAATATTTTAATTCCTTACTTGAGAATTTCATAAAAAAAAAACTTATAATTTTATTTTTCATTTTTTAATTAAAAATAAATAAGCAAATTATTTAAATTGAAACAACACAAATAGAAATTACAATCATTTTCTAAGTACATTCAATTTAATTAATAAACATAAAATTATACATCTCTCGCATCACACTGAACTAGTTAATGAAAGGAATTTAAAATTCATGTATGATTCACGTGGAATCTAGCTGGCATGAGTTTAACACACATTGACCGTCGCATAAACAATTGTGGGTCCATATTTGCCAAACCAATATGAAATTCAGTCAATTGAAAATGTTGTTTTTCGGTCAAATACTGAAAATAGAAAAAATGTGAAATTCAGTCATTAAAATTATTATTACCCCTATTTTCCTTACCCGACAGTGTACTGGGAGCGCAGAGCAGAGGGTTTAAGAAGTAGAGAAAGAAACTAATGTTCGCGCCGGAATTAAGGCACAAACTCTCCATTTTGTATAAACATAGTCTCCTAACAACAGCATCGGCAGCAAAAAGAGTGGGAACTCATGATGGAACCTTCCACTGCGACGAAGCTCTCGCCTGCTTCATTCTTCGCCTCACCAATAACTTCTCCAATGCTCAAATCGTCCGTACCAGAGACCCACAGGTAACCTTTTCATTGTTTCACTCTCACTTTTTATTTGGTTGAGAAAATTTAAAATTTTCTGGTTTCCTTCTTTTTTTCATTTGTTCCCTTGTGCGTGCGAAATTTATGTTAGGTGTTGAACTCGCTTGATGCGGTACTTGATGTTGGAGGCGTTTATGATCCATATCGATATCGTTTTGATCATCACCAGAATGGATTTGACCAGGTTTTTGGTCATGGCTTCACCACTAAACTTAGTTCTGCTGGCCTTGTTTATAAGGTGACTCTGTTTTTTGCTCTTCTATATCCCTAAAAGCTTAAACATTTTTTTTTAATTGGGCGTTTAATACACACATTGCTATCAATTAAACCTGGTTTGAAAGATGAAAAAATTAGTTTTTTTTTTTTTTTTTTTTTTTTTTTTTTTTTTTTTTTTTTTTTTTTTTTTTTTTTTTTTTTTTTTTTTTTTTTTTTTTTTTTTTTTTTTTTATTTTTTTTTTTTTAACTTTGGGTTATGTTGTTGCTATATAAAAGTAGATGTGCTCTTGAGGTATTGGAAATCTCCAATTTGTGACCTTATTGTTATGGCAGTTTCTTTGTTAGTTCAGTCTTTGTTTTACAAAGATTTTGGAAGCATTAATAGTTGCTGAAAATTTCCTTCCTTGATTTTTCAAATTTTGGGATGGTTCATTAGTATATTCTCAAGCTCTGAAACTGCAATATTACAGCTTGTGAATGGAAGTAAAAGAATCGTTTGCTTTTCTTGGGTTGGCTTTACTCACTAGTCTTCTCTATTTTTAAGTTTGTTCATGAGTATTTCAATCTTGTCTTTTAATTGCGATCTAATGGATGCATAATCCCCTTTCAGCATTTTGGATTGGAGATAATTGCAAAAGAGCTTCAGCTGGATGAAGGACATCAAGATGTGTATCGGTTATTTGTAGCAGTCTATAAAAACTTTGTGGAGGTAGCAGATTTATTCTCTGAGCTTGCATACTTCAAGTATTGACAAATAAATGCTGAAGAATCCTTGTTTTCCTCTCTTTTTTATTTATGTTCCAAATTTGTTTCCTTTTATCTTCTCTCTATGAAGATCGAAGAAGTCATTCATAAAATATAAGTGGGAGAGGAAATGTTTGCAGAGCTTGCTATCTTTCTTATTTATGTTCCAAATTTGTTTTTGTTTATTTTCTCTCTATGGAGATTGAAGAAGGCATTCATAAAATATTAGTCGGAGAGGAAATGTTTGTGAAGCTGCGGTTGTTGGGTCAAGGTCAAGGGGAAAGATATATATGCTTGTATAGATTGTGGTGAATGTGGCCATGTTTGTGGCATTACTAGTGTTGGCACAAGATTTAGTCGTGGCCATTTTTTCTGCATATTATGTTGAGATTCAATAATATTTTACGATGTTTAAGTTTAAAAAGATCTGAAGATTTCTTAGTGACTTCGGTGATATGGATCCATTGGTGCTTCCTAGTGGGCTTGGATGTGTTCTTATCCTTTGTTGCTTGTTTTGGTCTAATTAATATGTAAGGGATATGGGCATGGGCTCATTAGGTTTATTTAAGTTGTTGGTTTGTTGTTTTATTGTTTTGGGTTGGTTTTATGATGCATGCAATCTGCCCAATATCAAGTTGTTTGTTTTGGGCTGGAAATGACTTTATTTTGTGTTTTAGAGTTAAGCCCCTGTGTTTTGGCCCTAGGGCAGCCTAGTTAGATGCTCTTCTTTAGGGTTATGTTTGTTTAAGGCATATAAATAGCCTCCTTAATATGTAAAACGAGATTTTTGGCATAATTTGAATCAAAGGCAGAATTGTTCATGCTCTTGCATGTTCTTCTTAATTAGAGTGATTGTGAGAATTTGCTATTCTCTAATTGCATCAAGAATTAAGGTAAATTATCAATTCATTTGTGGCGTTTATCTTATTTCTTTGCTCGATTATTGGTGTTACCGTTTCATTATAAACGTTGGGGGTGCCATGGAGGCGTTTTAATCATCGATTATTGGTGTTTCCGTTTCATTATAACGTGGGTGCCATGAGGTGGAAATTTACATTCTCATTCCTTTTGATTTCCGATCCCGCGTTCGCGTCATTTGGTAATCAGAGCCAAATTTCAAAGTTTTGGGGTAAGTTCTGTTATCTTAGTTTAGGAATTTGGAAGTTTTCTATTGCTGGATTTCCTTTGATGCTTATCTTAATTACTTGCTTTCATTCTAGATTCTGGATTTTTCTCTTTTCTCTTTAGATCTTCTTGGATCTGGACTTTTTCTTTTAGATGTTCTTGGATCTGAGTTTTCTCTTTGGATCTTCTTGTTGTTTGTTTGTTTATTAAATAAAAAATAAAAAAAAATCAATTGATTACGTTATCAAGAATTTATAAGTTATTAAATACCAAATCTAGAGATTTGTTTGTCTTCTTGAATCTTGTTGATAAAAAAAAAAAAAGAGAGAGAGGTAAGTCAAATCTTGTTAAAGTCATTACCTATAAGTCAATATCTACCTAGATTGAAATTGGAAGACACAATTGCTGGACAACCTAAAGGCATTTTGACTTGATTTGGGAATTTATTGATAGTCTATCTTATATTCAATTGAAGGATATCATATTTTGACTTGATTTGGGATCTTATCTTGAGAAAACACAAAAAACATTGTTGGACAACCTACATACTAAGTCAAAAAAAAAAAAAAAAGTCATTGTTAAAGAGATATAAGTCAGAATTTGTCTTTAATTGACTTAAATTGGGATCCTATCTTGAGAGAACAAAAATCATTGCTGGAAAGGTTGATGCCTTTACTTGGACCGACTATAATACATTTATATACACAAGCATGCAATTTTATAGTTCAAGATAATCAACCTGTGACTTTAAGTAAATCTGGTTATCACTATAATTTCTGTGTCAATTCTGAAAATTTTGGTTTTATTGTTTGCTTGCTTTGATTGGATAGAATTAATTAGGTCCATATTTGGTTTGCTTTGTAGTAAACTAAATTCATACATCATATCGTCTCTTTAAAATTCTAGTTTCTATTTCTTGTTGCTGTGCTATCTTTGCTTCATTTATATTGTAGGTGTATTTGCTTTGTTCCAAACACCTCTAATTAATAATCAATAGTTACATTGGTTTTGTTCTTGTGCTACCATTCATTTTCGTTTGAGTTTTCTTCTAGAAAACTCAAACGAAAATATTAAGGCCTGTACCCTAATTAATAATCAAGTAGTACCATTTGTTTGTTCTTGTGCTACCATTCATTTCGTTGAGTTTTGTTAAAGAGAGATAAGTCAAATTGTTGTTAAGGTCATTACCTACCTAAGTTGAATTGGGAGACAAAAGTCATTGTTGGACAACCTAAATAATAAGTCATTACTTACCTAAATTGAAATTGGGAGACACAAACCATCCACTTATACCTTGTTAAGGCTTTACCCTACCTAAATTGGATCACATTTGTGGGTTAAGTAAGGATATAAGTCATGCACGCTGCTACAGTAACTTGCTACAGGAATTCAGAAGCATCCGTGCTACAGTACCTTAAAAAAAAAATTTTTTTTTTTTTTGGATTTTCTTTGTTTGCTTTCTTTGATTGGGTAGAATTAATTAGGTCCATATTTGATTTGCTTTGTAGTGAACTAAATTCATACATTATATCCAGAAATTGTTTTATGATCTTGAAGCTCTAATGTGATTTGTTCTTGAGCAAATGCATTCAAGGCTGTTCGTAGCTTGGTTGCACGAGCTCTTGTGATTGGCCCCACGGGTATAGCTAGAGGATCCTTCACCTTGCTTCCTTGATCCGTATCAAATATCTACCTAGATTGAAATTGGAAGACACAATTGCTGGACAACCTAAGGGCATTTTGACTTGATTTGGGAATTTATTGATAGTCTACCTTACATTCAATTGAAGGATATCATATTTTGACTTGAATTGGGATCTTATCTTGAGAAAACACAAAAGTCATTGTTGGACAACCTAAATATTAAGTCATTACCTACCTAAATTGAAATTGGGAGACAAATTGGGAGACACAAACCATCCCACTTATACCTTGTTAAGGCCTTACCCTACCTAAAATTGGGTCACATTTGTGGGGTTAAGGTGAGGATTTACAAGCCAAGCACGTCTGCATTACAGTAACTTGCTATAGACTCATGAAGCAAAATTGCTAACAGTACCGCCTGCTACAGTGAACTCAGAAAGCAAACCTGCTTACAGTACTTTAAAAAAAATAAAAATTTTTTTGGATTTCTTTGTTGGCTTGCTTTGATTGGGGTAGAATTTAATTAGGTCCATATTTGGTTTGCTTTGTAGTAAACTAAATTCATAACACTATATCCATAATTGGTCTTTAAATTCTAGTTCTATTCTTGTTTGGTGTGCTTAATCTTTGCTTCATTTATATTGTTATGGGTGTATTTGCCTGTTCCAACAACTCTAATTAATAATCAAGTAAGTACATTGTTTGTTTCTTGTGCTACCATCATTTCGTTTGAAGGTTTTCTATTCTAATGAAAACCTCAAACGAAAATTAGTTAGGCCTTACCCTAATTATAATCAAGTATACATTGTTTGTTCTTGTTGCTAACCATTCATTTCGTTTGAGTTTTTCTTTCATAGAAAACTCAAACCATTCATGTGTTGGACAACCTAAATATTAAGTTCTTACTACCTAATATTGAAATTGGGAGACACAAACCATCCACTTATCCTTGTTAGGCCTTACCCTAACCTAAATTTGGGGTCAACATTGTGGGTTAAGTGAGGATACAGCAAGCAGTCTGCTACAAGTAACTTGCTATAGGAATCAAAGCAAACTTGCTACAGTACGCCTGCTACAGGAACTCAGAAGCATAACTTGCTACAGTTACCTTTAAAAAAAAAATTTTTTTTGGATTTCTCTTTGTTTGCTTGCTTTGGATTGGGTAGAATTAATTAAGGTCCATAATTTGGTTGGCCTTTGGTAGTAAACTAAATTCATACACTATATCCCTAAATTGGTCTTTAAATTCTAGTTTCTATTTTCTTTGTTTGTGTGCTACTCTTTGCTTCATTTAATATTGTTAGGGAGTGTATTTGCTTGTTTTCCAACGCTCTAATTAACTAATCAAGTAGTAACATTGTTTTGTTCTTGTGCTACCATTCATTTCGTTTGAGTTTTTCCTTCTAGAAAACTCAAACGAAAATATTAAGGCCTTACCCTAATTAATAATCAGTAGTACTGTTTTTTTGTTCTTGTGCTAACCAATTTCATTTCGTTTGAGTTTTCTTTCCTAGAAAACTCAAAAACCATTCATATGTTGGACAACCTAATATTAAGTCAATTACCTACCTAAAATTTGAAAATTGGGAGACACAAACGCATCCACTTATAACCTTGTTAAGGGCCTTACCCTACCTAAAATTGGGTCACAATTTGTGGGTTAAGTGAGGATACAAGCCAAAGCACGTCTGCTACAGTTTAACTGCTATATGGAACTCAGAAGCCCAAATTTGCTACAGTACCGCCTGCTACAAGGAACTCAGAAGCAACTTGCTACAAGTACCTTTAAAAAAAAAAAAAAATTTTTTGGATTTTTCTTTGTTTGCTTGCTTTGATTGGGTAAGAATAAATTAGGTCCATATTGGTTGCTTGTAGTAAACTAACATTCATACACTAATATCCCTAAATTGTCTTTTAAAATTCCTAGTTTCTAATTTCTTGTTTGTGTGCTTATCTTGCTTCAATTTATATTGTTAGGGTATTTGCTTGTTCCCAACACTCTAATTAATATCAGTTATACAGATTGTTTGTTCTTGTGCTACATTCATTTTCGGGTTTGAGTTTTTCTTTCTAGAAACTCAAAACGAAATATTAAGGCCTTACCCTAAATTAATAATCAAGTAAGTAGCATTGTTTTGTTCTTGTGCTACCATTCATTTTCGTTTGAGTTTTTTTCTAGAAAACTCAAACCCATTCATTGTTGGACAACCCTAAAATATTAAGATCATACCTACCTAAATTTGAAAATTGGGAGACACACAACCACCACTTAATAACCTTTTTAAGGGGGCCTTAACCCTAACCTAATTGGGTCAACATTTGTGGGTTAAGTGACGGAAAATACAAGCCAAGCACCGTCTGCTACAAGTAAACTTGCTATAGAACATCAGAAGCAAACTTTGCTAACAGTTTCCGCCTGCTAACAGGAACTCAGAAGCAAACTTGCTACAGTACCTTTAAAAAAAAAAAAGTTTTTTTGGATTTTCTTTGTTTGCTTGCTTTGTTTGGGTAGAATTAATTTAGGTCGCATAATTTGGTTTGCTTTGGGCAGTAAACTAAAATTCATACACTATATCCCTTAAATTGTTTTTAAATTCTAGTTTTTTGTTTGTGTGCTATCTTTGCTTCATTTATATTGTTAGGGTGTATTTGCTTGTTCCAACACTCTAATTAATAATCAAGTAGTACATTGTTTTGTTCTTGCGCTACCATTCATTTCGTTTTACCATTCATTTCGTTTGAGTTTTCATTCTAGAATTGTGCTTACATTTCTTTTGTTAAGGTTTATTTTCCTTGTGTTCTAAACGTGCTTTGAGGTTGATTGGTTGGCCTGAAATTCTGAAGTACAATTGCAAGGAGTGATTAAAGAGTGTAAACACGTGAGGGAGTGCTTTATCACTAACTCAAATGTTTTCGTGTTTTCTATTTTGAACACTAACCATGAGTGCAAGCACATCTAGAGATAATAGTGGGGATGGAAGGCAAATAGAGGATCCCCAGTTGAAACTTGTAATGGAGTCAATCCTAGGACAATTTAGAACTTTCAACAATTCCGTCCAAGATATAAGAAAGGAGTTGCAGGAGTTTAAAGCTGCCCAACGCTCTAATACAAGAAGAGCTCGACCTAGTGGTACACCAACTAGATTTCAAACTCATGAAGACATGAAGAGAAGAAGGTCGATAATCCTGATCGTTACTTTAGGGATTTGAATAATGAGTTAGGAAGGGTGCAGGGAAGGAAGAATGTGGATTACCTCAGCAGATATTCATCCACAAAGGAAGAGCATAAGACCATTCTAACACCAGTTTGGTCAAAGGAAGTATATGTAGATAAATGTAAAAATGAAAGTATGAGACTTCATGTTGAAAAGAAAGAAAAGGCGATTGAAAATAAAATGAGTGGAAATACACATAGTACATATAAAAAGAAAGAGGGAAAAGAAAAAGAAAAGAATGTGAGTTTGATAGCAGTTTGATAGCTAGAGCAATATAAGGATACACATGCTTTGTACACAATCAGCCTATACTTGCCACCTTGTGTAAGGGACCTTATTTGGCCACTAATGATAATGATCTTAACCCATCCTTGCCAAGTGTGTTTGTTGATCTTTTGCAGGACTTTGAACATGCATTTCCAGAAGAGATTGCCCAATCTTCATGTGAGGGTAAAAAGGTTGTTCTTGCACCATTGATACCTCAAGAAGTGAATATTGATCAGAAAAAGTTGCTTGAGAGAGAGAAAGAGGAGTTCACTGATGTCTTTCTTGAAGAGTTGCCTAGTGGATTGCGACCTTTGAGAGGGATAGAACATCAAATCGATTTCATTCTTGGCTCCACCATTCCAAATCAACTAGTCAGTAGAAGCAATCCAATAAAGACAAAGGTGTTGCAAAGGCATATTCAGGTTGTAGCAACCAATGGAGTTCAATACGGTCTAAAAAGGAGAAGAAGAGTAAAGAAAAGGGCATGGCCTAAGGAGAAGTGGACTTATCCTAGCAAGCAAAAAAGATACCTCAACTTTTTAACTAAATTCGAGGACGAATCCTTTTTGAGGAAAGGGGGAAATGATATGGAATCCATTGGTGCTTCCTAGTGGGGCTTGGATGTGTTCTTATCCTTTGTTGCTGTTTTGGTCTATATTTAATATGTAAGGGATAATGGGCTCATAGTGTTTATTTAAGTGTGTTTTTTGTTTTGGGTTGGTTTTATGATGCATGCAATCTGCCCAATATCAAGTTGTTTGTTTTGGGCTGGAAATGACTTTATTTTGTGTTTTAGAGTTAAGCCCCTGTGTTTTGGCCCTAGGGCAGCCTAGTTAGATGCTCTTCTTTAGGGTTATGTTTGTTTAAGGCATATAAATAGCCTCCTTAATATGTAAAACGAGATTTTTGGCATAATTTGAATCAAAGGCAGAATTGTTCATGCTCTTGCATGTTCTTCTTAATTAGAGTGATTGTGAGAATTTGCTATTCTCTAATTGCATCAAGAATTAAGGTAAACTTATCAATTCATTTGTTGGCGTTTATCTTATCTTTGCTCGATTATTGGTGGTGTTACCCGTTCCTTATAAACGTTGGGGTGCCATAGAGCGTTTTAATCTCGATTATTGGTGTTTTCCGTTTCATTATAACGTGGGGTGCCTAGACGGCGAAACTTACATCTCATTCTCGATTATTGGTGTTTCCGTTTCATTATAAACGTGGGGTGCCATAGAGGCGAACTTACATCTCATTCCTTTGATTTCCGATCCCGGTTCCGTGTCATTCGGATTTCTGTTAAAAAATAAAAGAAGAGAAACAAGCTGTTGACCTATTATTCTATGATTTAGGACCATTAGTTTCCATCTATATTTATTGTCTTTACAATGTTAACCCAGTCTCAAGTGTTTGTTTTTCATCCCTCTTGCTTGTTTAAGAATTTTGTCTGTCTTTGTAATTATCTACCAGTTGATTAAAAAATAAACAATAATATAAAAAATGATAAAGGTGCTTCTGTAATTTGTTAAGTGATATGTAGCAAACCATAACTTCATATTGAAATGCAGTTGTTATCATTGATAGCTGTAGATAAATATCTTAAATGGATTTGCCTTTTCATTTTAAATCTGACTGCAAATAGGAAAATATGATTGGAGATGATTGCAGGTGGTAGTGCAATTGGTGGTGGTGGTGGTGGTGGTGGTGGAATATTTTCAATAAAATTTGGAGATGGGAGCAAAAACTTTCCCTTTCTCCAGGTTGAAGTGTGTTACTGATGGACATTTGACAACCCAATTGGGATAAGGAATCAAATTTAAAACGATCGAAGTATCGACAATGGTTTATATGTGGGGGGGTTTCTCTTGTCTTGGTTGCAAATATGCTGGTTGACATGCTACCCCTAAATATAATTACTAGAAGCAAAGCTATGAATCTTTGGTCTTTTAAACCAAAACAAGAGTGGATTTCTGTATGCTCAAGATTTTCACAACCTTTTGCAACATAAATGGCTTATGTCTACCTATTTATTGGACTTTTAACTGTGTGGCTTATCAGCTTGAATGGTCAGGTGCAGGGTAAGATCTACCGTCACTTCTTTTTAGTTTTGGGGGTAACCCTTCCCTTTTCTTGATCCCTCTCCACTTTCTTATTTTTTTTTTTATGTTTTATTTGAGTTTTTTTGTTTTGTTTTTTCTAACTCAGATTTGTTTTTGATACAACATGCATTTGTGCATTTCAATTATAATGTGGTCTTCTAATTTTATTAATATTATTGCTTGCTACACCAGGCAATTGATGCTGTTGATAATGGGATTAATCAATATGACCCGAATCAAGCTCCTAGATATGTGAATAATACAAGTTTATCTAATAGAGTGGGAAAATTAAATCTCAACTTCACAGATCCTGATCAATCATCTCAGAGAGAGAATGAAGCTTTTAAACATGCAATGGAACTTGCTGGCAGTGAATTTTTGGAGGTGATATCTTTTAATGTTCGAATTAGTCATGTTGCAGTATAATTCTTTGTCCATCCACAGTTGTGATGGAGAAATAAAGAAATTGAGTATTCATACTGTTATTGTCTCAGAGTATTCACTTTCATGCAAGCTCATGGTTTCCTGCTTGATCAATTGTGATGGAGTGCCTTTCATCAAGAGAAGATATTGATGGCAGTGGAGAAATCATGGTGCTAACAAGATCTTGCCCTGTAAGACTCTATCATCGTTAGTAGTGTTGAAAAATGATAGAACAGAGATCACACACACCATACATGCAGCATACACAGAAATCTAGTTCAGTAATTGAATCTTCAAAAGACCAGTTTCATTAATTACTTTTAACACTTAAATACAAGACAAGTTACTTAAATTAAGTGAAAAAAATGGCCTTTTGTCAGCTCCATACCTATGCCTTAACTCGCTTTTCTAACGTTCTAGCCCATGACTTTTCTTATCTTACAAGTTTACTTTTCACCTAACTCCACTGACAGACTTGTAATAGCAGTCTCAGTAACGGAAAAATCAAAATACAAATTTCCCTCCGCTAATTAACTAAAAGGTATTGAAGCAAATTCTCAAACTTCAACAATCTCCTTGAGAATTTCTTTCATACTCCAAGCACTTCCTTTGAACTTCAAACTTTGAACTGCTTCAACCTAGAAGCTTATTGGTTGCTTATTCTCAAATAACAGGCATCAGACATTCTCCATTATTGTCCTATTTTTTGTCTGTGAAACTCCATTTTGTTTAGGAGAATAGCTAACTATAAATTGATGATGAATCCCTAAATCCTTGCAAAACTTGTAAAATTATGAGGTGTATTCAACATTTTCTGATCTTAGAGGTCTTCAATTTGCAGCCACTTTGTTTTTTCACAAAAAGCCTTGAATTGTTTTAACACATAAAACACTTAGGACTTCGAACACATAAAACAGACCAGTCATGCTTCTGAAATCATCAATAAACAAGATAAAGGATATGTTTGACCTAAGGATTCAACCCACATTGAACCATTAGCTTCTATTTATTCGCTTTATGAGCTTTCCAATGGGTAAAGTTTTAATTTGCAACTTCCAAACTGAGGACAATTACAAACTTCATCGTTCATTTGAGCACGTAAACTTTAAAGACCAAGTTATAATGCTCAAATCTCCTATGCCATACCAAGACTTTTCACAGCTAGCACTATAAAGCATGGTGCCTTACTAATTCCCAATTAAAAGGGTAGCTATTGTCAACCATTCTCACGTTAGCTATCTCAACACCACTGGGGTCATAGTCTATCTTGTTTACGACTTTCCAATTTGTTATCTATCTCAGCCCAATACTTGGCTTTTAACTTACTTTTTTTAACATGATGACCAATACTTAGCTTTTCTAATCTTACAAGCAAGTGTAACAACAAGCTTTGTAATAAAAAGTGTGTAAGCAAAATTCTTCGTCTTTTACGAGTAGCGTCTTTCTTTGTGGGGTTTGATGAAAACAGATATCTTGCATAACTCTTTCTACATAACGAACTTTCTTTGGCTGAGCCTTTATCCCAAATAAATTGGAAAAATCGTGTCATTCCTTCTATGGAAAAGAAAATATTGCTATAATATAATATTAGCATGAATGTTGATTTTTTATACCTTGGTATTTGTAGTCCTTTGTTTAAGTTTTAATCTCGTCAAGTCTTTCTGACAGTGGAAGCTACATATATTTGAGCTAGAAGAGGAAATGAAGATCTACCCTTCAATAAAATATGTTATCTACCAGGTGAGTATTTTTCTTTCTTTTCACTGTTGACACATGCAAGTTATGCTGCCGGTGAATAAAGAAGCCATTTTTGTACTCATAGAATCCCACTTGTTCAGGGTTTCTCAAAACAACATTCTCATACAAAATCACCTGACACTAATTGCCTGCAGTACAGCTCATGCCTCGTATTCGTATCTGTTGGTTTTCTTTTGGCTTTTTTTGGCATTTTCAACATATTTTCTGTATTTTTGCTATCCGCAGGATGATAGGAGTGAAAATTGGCGACTACAAGTGATACGGATCCATCATCACTCGTCACTGGATCGCAAGGAGGCATGGTGAACGACGAAGGAGATCCATTGGTGCTTCCTATTGGACCGATTACACTACAAGTGATACGGATTCATCATCAAAACTCCGCACTTATAGGATCGCAAGGAGGCATGGTGACGACGAAGGAGATCTTGGTGCTTCCTAAAATTGGACCGCATTAACAAAGGAGCCCGTGCCAAAGCGATATGGGGCAAGCACATATCATTATTTGTTCAAGCCAAAATAACACAGAAACTTCAAGATGGTCGCAAATTCAACAAAGTGTTGTGAGGAACTTGAAAGGCAATTCCTAGGCTTCCTTCTAAATGTTGTTGGTGGCATGTGAAAGTTGAGCAACTCCAAATAATTTGTTTGGACTTTGCTACAGTGGAGGAAAGCATGCCTGCTACAGTGCCGCGCCCAAATTAGCCTTGAACTGCTAACCAAGTTAACTGACCTCGCTAACCAAGTGACATCGGGACCTGAAGGCCTTGGAAGGGAGTGACTTAGGCGTGTTTTGTGTGTTTTATGCTTTGTTAAACCTAGATTCCTTATTTAGTATAAATAACTTGTCTTCCATGTAAGGACGAAACTTTTGATAAATTGAAAAACTTCATTTGATCAAGCTTTGCTTGTTCCATTTACTTAGAGTGACAGTGAGAGATTGCTTCCTCTAATTGCATCAAGAATTTAAGGTAAACTTATCAATTAGTTTGTGGCGTTTATCTTGTTCTTTGCTTGATTATTGGTGTTACCGTTTCCTTATAAACGTGGGGTGCCATAGAGCATTTAATCTCGATTATTGTATTGGTGTTTCCGTTTTCATTATAAACGAGGGGTGCCATAAGAGGCTAACGTTACATCTCATCGTAAGTTCTGTTATCAATCAAAGATTTAAGGTAAGTTCTGTTATCTTAGTTTAGGAATTTGAGTTTTCTAGTTGCTGGATTTCCTTTGATGTTGTCTTAGTACTTGCTTTCATTTTAGATAGAGCCAAATCAAAGTTTTGGGGTAAGTTCTGTTATCTTAGTTTAGGAATTTGAGTTTTCTTGTTGTTGGATTCCATTGTTGTTTGTCTAAATTCTTGTTTTCATTCTAGATCTGTATTTTTCTCTTTAGATCTTGTTAGATCTAGATATTTTTCTTTTAGTTCTTGTTGGATCTAGACATTATCTCTTTAGATCATCTTGGATCTATAATTTTCTTGTTAGATCTTTTTGGATCTAGGTTTCATCTTGCTTTTCTTCTTTGTGTTTGCTTAGTGTTCGATTATCTTTTTGGATTTATTCCAAATTCTGGGTTTTTGCTTTGTCATTCATTGAGTTTTCTTCTTGTGTTCTTGATTTAAAAAAAAAAAAAAAGAATTGAATTGGGAAACACAAAAACATTGTTGGACAATTAATTAATTAACCCTCGCAAATTAGAAGAGGGAAGACAAAAAGCAGTTGGACAACATAATCATTACCTACCTAAATTGAATTGGGAGACACAAATTGGGTCACTTGCTACAGGAACTCCCCTACCTAAATTGGGTCGCTTGCTACAGAAACTTGCTACAGGAACTTGCTTCAGATACTCAGAAGCATCCGTGCTACAGTAACTTTAAAAAAAATTTATTTTTTTGGGATTTTCTTTGTTTGCTTGCATTGTTTGGGTAGAAGTAAATTAGGTCCATATTTGGTTTGCTTGTAGTGAACTAAATTCATATATTATATCCAGAATTCGTCTTTTAAATTCTAGTTTGTTTATTCTTGTTTTGAGCTTTCTTTTGCCTCTATTACATTATTAGGGTGTATTTGTTTGTAAAATTGTACTACACTCTAAATTAATATAATCAAGTAGTACATCATCTTGTCCTTGTACTACCATCCATTATCGTTTTGAGTCTTCTTTCTAGAGTTTGTGCTTACTATTATTGATTGTTAAGATTTATTTCCTTGATTCTAAAACGTGCTTTCGAATTGGTTGGTTAATCTACGATTCCGAAGTACAATTGTAGGAATTGCAAGGAGTGATTGAGGAGTGTAAACACGTGAGGGAGTGCTTTATCGCTAATTCAAATGTTTTTGTGATTTCTATTTTGAACACTAACCATGAGTGCAGGCACATTTGGATCGAGTACAGGAAAGTCCAGGAACATTAGTAAAAAGATGAGGCAAATTCAAGACCCCAATTGAAGCCTCTTTATGGAGTCAGATTCAAGGTTTGCAATTTCGATCCTATAACACTATCTCCAGATATGAGAGAGGGGAATTGCAGGAAATTAAAGCTGGCCCAAGCTCCAATACTACAAGAGCTCGTCCCAAGTAATACTCCACCGATGAGAATTTCAAATTCCTGAAGATGATGAAGTCGGATAATGCCCGAGTTAGGTAAGTTGATTGGTGACTTGGGTTTTCATTAAAAATGAAGTTTCGCGGAGTTCCATGGAAACAACAACGCAGAAGAGTACCTTGAATGGGAAAGAAAAGGTTGAGCAAATTTTTGAATGTCATAATTATTCTGAAAATGAAAGAAGTCTCACCTTGCAGCCGTTGAGTTCAAACGGGATATGCTATTTTCCTGGTGGGAACAGTTGGTTGTTAAAGAGAAGGACAGAAGGGAATGCGACCCGTACCGAACAATGGGGAGACCATGAAGGAGTTTGATGCACCAGAATCTTCAAGTTCAATCTCACATCTTGCATAATTATGATCTTGAAGCTCCAATGTGATTTGTTCTTGAGTAAATGCATTCAAGGCTGTTCGTAGCTTCGTTGCACGAGCTCTTGTGATTGGTCCCTCGGGTAGAGCTAAAGGATCCTTCATCTTGCTCCCTTGATCTGTATCACCTTGGAGGTTTGAAATCACCATGTCACGATTCCTTGGAGGTCTAAATAGCTATATTGCTGATGCTTTGGAGATGTATCGCTATGATACACTAGAAGAGATGATAGATATGGCCATGAAGCTAGAAAGGCAGAACAAGGGAAAGTCTACCAACAAATATTCCAACAATACTTTGGAAACCAAATGGTCCAAAGGAGGAGAGAAGAGAGATTTCAAAGGTCCTAGTTTCCAAAGAACTGAATCAGTTTCGAAAGGTAAAGAGGTTGCCCAAACTACATTCAAAGGAAACAAAGAATATATATAATATAATATTTTATTTATGAGAGAGATAAAAAAGAAGAAAAAATTATATTATTTTTATACTTTATGTTTGTCATATTTGATCGGATATAATTTTTAAAAAGTAAATTTTCAAATAGAATTTACATAATTAAACATGGAAGGTAAATGGTTGAAATTTTAATTTTAAAAAATATATAAAATATTTTATTGTTATATTTATATTTTTATATACATTGCAATTTTTTTTTTTTTTGTTAGGCGAGTTTTGAAAGAGTTTTATTCTTAATAATAATTTTTATTTTCTTTTTTTATTACTGAATAATTTGTAACTATTATCATTTTAATTTAATAAGTTGCTTATTATTGATTGGGGGGTAGGTTGCACTAATGTTGCTAGTGTGAGTATGGTGAATAAGTTGAATTTGACATGTCTTAAACATCCTAAACCTTATAGATTGCAATGGTTGAATGATGGTGGAGAGGTGAAGGTGACACGTCAGACGCCAGGTGCTTGTGCCGTTTTCTATTGGATGGTACAAAGATGAAATTTTGTGTGATGTAGTACCAATGCAGGCAGGCCATCTATTGTTGGGAAGGCCATAGCAATATGTCGAAAGGCACTACATGATGGGTTCTTTAACCGATACTCTTTGGTTCATAAGGGGAAGAAGGTGACTCTTGTTCCATTATCGCCTTAAGAAGTGTACACCGATCAGAAGAAAATACTTGAGAGAGAAAGAGAGACTTCAACTTTGAGGGAAAATGAGAGTGAGGCTTCCAGGCTTCCAGTTCGAGAGAACAAAAGAGTGTTAAGAGAGAGGTTGAAAAGAAAGAGGCCACAAAAGATACCAAACAGATTATTGGCCCAACGGTGAGTGGAACACCGAGAGGAGAGAGAAAGAAACACACTTTTTATGCGAGAGTTAGAGAGGTTAAGTGTGCCATAGCCTTGAGGCAGCCCGTGTTGCTTCTTAGGTTCAAGGATGCTTCTTAGGTTCAAGGAAATTTTATTTTCTAACGCTGACACTAATCTTGATGGTTTACCTCCTGTGTTTGTTTCTATGTTACAGGAATTCACTGATGCTTTTCCAGAGGAGCTACCTAGTGGATTACCACCTTTGAGAGGCATAGAACATCAGATTGATTTCATTCCCGGTTCCACCATTCCAAATCGACCAGCCTATCGAAGCAATCCGACGGATACAAAGGAGTTGCAAAGGCAAGTTGATGAGCTTATGGAGAAAGGATTGGTGCGAGAAAGCATGAGTCCTTGTGCTTGTGCCGTTCCAGTACTTTTAGTACCCAAAAAGGATGGTACATGGCGAATGTGTATTGACTGTAGGGCGGTCAACAAAATCACTGTCAAGTATAGATACCCTATTCCTAGACTTGATGACATGTTAGATGAGTTGTGTGGGTCTACTTACTTTACAAAGATCGATTTAATGAGTGGTTCTCATCAAATTCGAATGCAACCAGGTGATGAATGGAAAACTGCTTTCAAAACTAAGTATGGTTTGTATGAATGGTTAGTCATGGCTTTCGGATTGTCTAATGCACCTAGTACTTTCATGAGGCTTATGAACCTAGTACTTTCATGAGGCTTATGAACCATGTTTTACGTGCTTTCTTAGGAAAATTTGTAGTTGTGTACTTTGATGATATACTTGTTTATAGCAAGTTGTTGGGCAATGTTAGCTAGTTATTACAAGCTTTGAGAAAGAACAATATGTATGCTTAAGCTTAAGAAATGCACATTTTGTATAGATAGAACTTGTGTTTCCTTGGTTTTGTTGTGAGTGCGCAGGGTATAAGAGGTAGATGAGAGAAGTGATAAAGCTATCAAGGAATGGCCGACGAACTTGAAATCATCTTCGGATGCTGCGAAAGTTTCCATGGGTTGGCAAGTTCTACCTTTGTAAAAGATTTCTCTTCAATTGCAGCACCACTAACAGAAATAATCAAAAAGGAAGTTGGGTTCAAGTGGGGAGAAGAACAACAGAAAGCGTTTGACAATGCTTAAAGGAAAGTTAACATCCGCACCTATACTTTCTTTACCTATCTTTGAGAGTACTTTTGAAATTGAGGGTGATGCTTCTGATGTGGGAATTGGGGCGGTCCTAATGCAAGAAAAAAAAAACCAATTGCCTACTTTAGTGAGAAATTGAATGGAGCCCAACTCAACTATTCAACCTATGACAAGGAGCTGTATGCCTTGGTAAGAACTCTTATGCTTGGTGAGGACTTTTGAGCGTATGGCTAACACTACTTACTTACTAAGGAGTTTGTCAATTCCATACTGATCACGAGGCCCTAAAACATTTTGAGGGGGTCAAGGTAAGCTCAACAAGCGACATGGTAAGTGGGTTGAGTTCATTGAACAATTCCCTTACGTTATTAAATACAAGCATGGAAAGGATAATGCTGTTGCTGATGCATTGTCACGGAGATATACCTTACTTACTACTCGTAGCTCTAAATTGATAGGATTTGAGTATGTTAAGGATTTGTATGCATCTGACTCTAATTTTGGCAATGTATATTTGGCATGTGAACATGGGGCATTTGATAAATTTTATCGACACGAAGGATATTTGTTTAGGGGCAGTAAACTTTGCATGCCTAAATGCTCTGCATGCCTAATGCTCCTATAACATGCGTGATTTGCTTGTACTTGGAGTCTCCATTGTGGGGGATTGATTGGGACATTTTGTGGGTACATACAGACTTATGACATATTGAATGAACATTTTTAATTGGCCTCCATATGCGTAAAAGATGTCGAGAATGTTTGTTGGATTCTTTGTCTTTACTTGTAAACAGTGCCCAAATTCTAAGTCTATGCTCATGGGTTGTTATATGCCCTTTACCAGTTTCCTAGCTCACCTTGGGTTGATATATCTATGGTTTTGTACTTGGGATTACCTAAGACTAGGCATGGTAGATGAAACAGTATATTTTGTAGTAGTTGATAGGTTCAGCAATGGCTCATTTCATATCTGTCACAAAACTTGAAAAAAATTTGGAAAAATAATTGCGCTAATTCATGTTGCTAAATTATTCTTTTAGAGAGGTGGTACGATTACATGGAGTTCCAACGGACTATTCGTTTCTGATAAGGGATGACTAAGTTCCTTTCACATTTTGGCGGGTTTTTGTGGGGTAAATTGGGTACAAAAATTACTTTATTTCTGACTACTTGTCATTCTCACAAACCGATGGATGAAGTTGTGAATAGGACTTTGGGAACTTTACTTCGTACTATAGTGGGTAAAAATTTGAAAACTTGGGAGGATTGTTTGCCATTTATTGAATTTGCATACAATCGAAGCATACATTCTACTTCAGGTTTTACTCCATTTGAACTTGTTTATGGATTTAACCCACTGACTGTTTTGGATCTTGTTCCTTTACCTTTACATGAGCTCTCTAGTTTAGATGGTGATAAAAAGGCTAAACTGGTGAAGTCTTTACATGAAAAGGCTTGAGCGAATATTGAAAAGAGGAACAAACAGTATGCTGACAGGGCCAATAAAGGAAGGAAGAAGCTAGTGTTTGCGCCTGGAGCTTGGGTTTGAGTGCTGATACGGATCCACTACCACCAACCACCTATGAAGCTCAAGGGAACAAGGACCACAACAATGGCGATCCATTAGTACTTCCTAGTGGACCAATTATTCAAGTCTTGGAATGCGTCAATTGACAATTGCCTACAAGTAAATGAACTTACCAGGTGAGTATGGATGTTTCGGCTACCCTTTAATCGTTAGTGTTTGGTTCTCCTTTTGACATGGGTGCAGAATTTGAGAACAAATCTTTTTGAGGATAAGGGGATGATACGGATCCATCATCAACTCGTCATTGGATCGCAAGGAGGTCATGGTGAACGACGGATGGAGATCCATTGGTGCTTCCTATTGGACCGATTACAAGGAGCCGTGCCAAGCGATTTATGGGGGCAAGCCTATCATTATTTGGTTCAGCCAAAATAACACAAGAACTTCATGATGGTCGCATTCAACAGTGTTGTGAGGAACTTGAAGGCATTTCCTAGGCTTCTAATGTTGTTGGTGGCATGTGGAAGTTTGAAGCCTCCAATAAATTTGTTTGACTTGCTACAGTGGAGGAAAAGACGCCTGCTACAGTGCCGGCCAATTAGCTGACTAAGCTACAGTAACTTTGACTCACTAACAGTGACATCGACTTGAAAGGCCTTGGAGTGACTTAGCGTGTTTTGTGCAGTGTTTTATGCTTTGTTAAACTCTAAGATTCCTTATTTAGTATAAATAACTTTATCTTTCCATGTAAGGACAGATATTTTGACAAATTGAAAACTTCATTTGAATCAAGCTTTGCTTGTTCCATTTGCTTAGAGTGACACATGAGAGATTGGCTTCCTCTAATGGCATCATAGAATTTGAAAGTAAACTTATCAATTCGTTTTGTGGCGTTTATTTGTTCTTCTGCCTTTGATTATTGGTGTTACCGTTTCCTTATAAACGTAGGGTGCCATAGAGCATTTTAATCCTCGATTATTGGTGTTTCCGTTCATTATAAACGAGGGGTGCCATAGAGGGCGAACTTACATTATCATCCTTTGATTCGATCCGGATCAACAAGCGTCAGCCATAGAGCATTTAATCTCGATTATTGGTGTTTCCGTTTCATTATAAACGAGGGGTGCCATAGAGGCGAACTTACATCTCATCCTTTGATTCGATCCGGATCAACAAGCCGTGGCAGTCTCACCTGATAAGTTCGAGAGTCGAAAACCTCTATTGCTTGGTTGGAGGGGTTTAGAAAATGATGAACTCTCTGAGGTGACAGGGATCCCAGGCTGCGTTTTTGTCCATATGAGTGGATTCATTGGTGGAAATCGAAGTTATGAGGGTTCTCTTGCTATGGCAAGAGCTTCTTTAAAAGGGTACGGCACATAGGTATCATGATGATTGTTAGATACTACATTCACGATGACATCAAAGTTGTCCTCCTAGACCCAGGACGGTAGCCTGTACGTGCTTCGGGGTATTTAGAGAGATCAATCGCATAAATTTTCTGTAGAAGCTTAAGTCTTACTATTTTCTGAATAGTTTTGAAGAGGTTTTCCTGCAAGTGGTCTTTTTCTTTTCTTTTTTCTTTTTTTTAAGGAATTAGTGACGAATATAAAATGACTAAAGTGCTTTTGCAACACAATGGGCAAGCTTTAGAAGATGGCGTGATAACCAAACATGAACTTGAATTATGCTTCTCATGCCATCTTCATTGATGATATCAGAATTTTGCTAAGAGGATTTTTCTTGAATGAAAGGTCGAAATTCTTAAGGGGAGGGGATTTGAAGTAGAATTATTCTCAATATTACTATTTCACATGAATTCTAATTCTAAGCTAAAACTTTACATGAGATTCTTAAGCTTCAGTAGGATTGAAATTCAGTTTTGACCCAAAGAATGTCTCAAATAACATATCCATGGACCAAAATTGAGTTAGTGATATCATCTTGACATGGGACAAAACTTTAGCTTCTGCAGAAAATAGAGGGTGGTTTACTCTTCAGAGACTGATGGCAACCCCTCTTTGAACCATGTGTAAAGGCCTCCTTCTAAATGAAAGATATTTGTGTAACCATTGAGAACTAGAAGGTAGGCTGCTATCAGTGATCTGCAGCAAGTAACAAAACTATTAGGCCTGTGGCATTTATCAATCGAGCAAGCAATTAAATATCCTAAAATGAAAAGTTTAAATACTATTTAGTCTCTCAAGTTTGGTCATAATTTTTTTTTGGCCATTCGGTATATAATTTTGGCCATTCAATATCATATACGATGAATCTGCACTCTGCGGTTATGAGATTATCTCAAACTTTACGACTTTGACATTTATCTTTTAACACTAGCAATTTTTCAATTGTGTCCTTTATTTATTTATTGTAAATGGTACATCAAATTTGATAACGTAGTATCAATTGACAATTGTAGATCAGGTCAATTTTTTTTTTTCTGAAAAAAATATCCTATTTTCATATTTATTAGGAGCACAAAAGTTCAAATTAACCTTTACGCTTATCATATCATATTATCCTATATTTTAATTTGAAAAACACAATTTGGGAAGTAGCATTTGAATATGGTTGAATAAAGAGGTAATGAAGTTTCATAACAAGGTAAGAGAGATGAAAATACCTTGACTGTTGGCCTTCAGGGAGATTTTGGGATGGCTTCATAGTACCCCCAGATGAGCAAGCCACTATTATCTTTGCGTTTTTATCTATCTTTGATTCCACAGCTGCCATCATAGGCTAAATATCACTATATTATTTCTAAATAATCACTTTAGAATTTTTTTTCAAAAACAAAAACCGTACTCTGTATAAACTCAGGGTTCTCTTCTGTGCCTGCAAAGATGCCAAAAAATGCAAATGCAGCTCTTCTAGCAATGTCCCATGCTGTCCATTCCTTTATAAGCCTATATATTTGCACATTTATGGCACCTGGTGGATGAGCCTGCAACAAAATTCACACACGCACACATATTTTGTCGATCGGTTACTAAATTTATTGAGTGTATACACCTGGTATAGGTAAATAGTAGCACTCAGATAATAAAATCTCCCAAATTGATTTTTGTGTTATTGTCAAATTGTAGAGAAGGATGAAATTGTTAAATCATCAGATAAACTTCATTCTCTAAATTTTCATCAATCTCCCTTAAATTGGAAAGAATGATTGTGTAATTTTAATCAAATGAATACAATTATAACTAATTTTTAAAATTAAGATGAAATCATTAATTTTTACAAGTTTGTGTGTACAATTAGAACTTTTCAAAAAGGATTGGGACTTTTAGTATATTCTAAAAATTTTAATAGGGGAATAAAATCCTAGACTTAAGCTAGTAGGCTAATTGAGAATAGAGGATCAAGAAATGCAATCTTGAAGTTAATATTTAGTAACTTTGGAAACGAACCTCTTTGAATTCTGCTTCTGGGCGAACATCAAGAATCACAAAGTTATTTTCTTGCTGAAGGCGAAGAGCTTCCTTGACATCAACACTCCTCACCTTTTTCTGCAGAAGAACCTCTCTCTTAACCTTCCATTCTTCTTCAGCTAAAACACCCCTCCCAATACAAAGAAAAATAAAAATAAATGTAATTTTTGAAATGCTATGGAAAATCTTTCAGACTGAAATTGAAAAACTTGAATTAAATCACCTGGTGATTTTGCAGGTTTGGTTGCTGCGTTTTGGACTCTTAGGCCTACCCCTGGAACTGTTTGTGCTGATAATCTTCCTCTCAAAGACCCATTTGTTCTAATGGTGAAAAAGGATAAAGTATGCTCTCTAGTAGATTTGGAAGAGAAAAATAATGGTGACGATTGAAAATTAGGATACAATGAAGAAGAAGAGTGAGAACTTATTGCAGCCATTCTTTTGAGAACTATAATAAATCAAAGAAAATTATATATTAGTTTAATAATAAGTGTTATATAGCTTGAACTTGCTTCTTCTTTATTATTATTATTATTATTTAATAGCATGCCCAGTGAATATTGAAAGCTTGAAAGGATATTAGTGGGCCATAGGCAATAGTGTTGTGAGATCTTTATCTCTCACAAAAATCTCAACTTGTGGCTGAATGGGTGATGTTATTGGATGGGATTATGGATGGGATCATTTTGTTTCTTTCTTGCTTGTACATCCTATGGATTTCTCGCAAGTTTTGCATTCTTATTTAGGCCCAATTCGATGAGAAGTAGCCTTTTTTTATTATTTAATTGTGCGTAAATTTTTTAATGCAGTAATTAATTGTAGGGAAATTTTACAGTATGATTCTTATAGTTTATGAAATACAACTAGTTTGTTTATGTTTTTCAAGAAATAGATTAAAATGTTCTTACAGTTTACTTCCGTCGAACTATAATGTCGTTTCGTCTAATTTTTACATCTTTTTCATTAAGTATCTTATAAAATGAAAAAAATATATCCCTTTTATTTTTAAAAATGAGGGATGAACTAATTGTATTTTTTAAACCATAAGGAGTGCACTATAATTTTTTAGTATAATATTTTAGTATCCCTCTTTTTACCTCTTTGTTTTCTTTTTGACTTAATGAAGCAGATGCAAAAATTAAATAGAAGCAAAATATAGAGAGAAATTAGTATATTTTAAAAATGAGAAGGATGAAGTACTTGTATTTCACAAATCATAGGGATCGTACTATAATTTTTCCTTAATTATATGAAGAGGAGAGAAAAAGAAAACCTTAATTGTGTGAAGAGGAGAGAAAAAGAATTTCCTCAACTAGTTAATTGGAAGTACCAATGTTTTTTTTTTTTTTTTTTTTCAACTAGTTAAATTGGAAAGTAATAATGTTTTTTTTTTTTTTTTTTTTTTTTTTTTCTTGTAACTAGGAGGTTTAATTTTCCCGGGCCATAGAGCGTAAAAATTTTTTACCCTCTCAGCAAAGTGCGCTTCCCGAGACTTGTATTCTCATCCTTACTGGGATTAAAGTCGCTTATCATCCCAATCAACGCCTTATTGGTAATGTAAATTTAATTTTAAAATAATAAGTCAACTCTTATAATTAGTTTGATTTTTAATATTTTTATACCGAAATTATTTTTAAAAATTTAGATTATCCAATCTTTTCTTTGATAAAATGTGCATACTAAATTGATTTGATATCAAAATAAAGTTGAATAATTTTAATTGTAATTCACAGATTAATTCTTCTTTTTATAAATATTTACGGAGACATGTTGGACCTTGAGCAATAAGATTTACGATTTGGTGGGAGAGGGTACATTCTCCCTTTAAAGCAAAAATCCAACATCACAAACAACACATTATCCAATCAGCATGTCCGCAATAAAAGTGGATTTCACCTCTCTTATTTAAGACCAACCCGAACCTTACATGGACCTGTCTCCTCAATTTCGTGCACTAGACCTTAATGCTTGTTGGAAGAACTTAATTTCATAATTAAGAGTGACAAACAATTTCAACCTATTCAGTCTATGGCTCCACCAGCCACCTGTTGACAAATTGAAACCTGCACATGAGCATAAGAGAAGTCGATATATACTCAAACAACTCAAGAAAATCCAAGCTAAAATCTCTATTTAGAGCGTTATCCTTTCTTCCTACCCAAGCTCTTTGTAAGGCGTTGAGTCAATGCCAAGCCACCCACTAAAAATCTCATCCGACAACCTAGAGGTGTACCACCAAATCCAATGTAATTTCCTCCAGTGATGAGAATTTGCCTGAAGGTGGGGCATCCCTTAACAACGTCCTTTACATTACTGTAGTGAAAGGGAAGACAATCCCTATGATTCTAATGGATAATAGATCAATTCTAAATATGGATACCATTCCAGGTGGCGAGTTGTCTTGGAATTGAAGCTTCAAGTTTCACGTCTTCTGATCATATTGTAAGGGCATATGACATTAAGAGAGAAGTTAGGAGTAGTCACTATGGATGCGATGATTGGATCCGCTAATTTTGCTATACTCTTCTAGGTAATTGGCGTACTTGAGGACATTATGATTTTTCCATGGGAGGAAAGAATCGAATCGAATTGAACGGGTTTGGTTGATTTTATTTAAAAATCGATTTTCTTTATTTAACCCATCCATTAATCCTCGAAAAATGGTTCACTTATTTTGTTAAGAGTTTTTATTTTTTTTGGAATCACCACACTAGGGAAAATTCTCAAATTAGTCGATTCTTTGGAATTGACTAACTCGGTTTTAAACCAAAGACAAGGTCCGAGAGTTAGGTGTGATAAGAAAGATTTTAGGCACCCCTATCTCTCAGTTAAACCAGCTTTCTCATTGTTCAATGATTCACAATGACTTAAATAATGCAATTAACTAAAAAATGAGATGTAAATACTCTTTTGATGCAATTTTGGAAACCACGTTAATCAAGCATATTATTGCAAAGTATTAATTAAACATGCAAAGAAAGGGAGAGGAGAAAAGAATTACAATCCACACCTAATTATACAATCTACGTATTACCCTCCAAATTTCTCAAATCTCCAATAATTATTATAAAAAGGTATTAATTGAGATCCATTAAGGTCTCTTATATTTTGCCATAATATAATACTAAAGCAAAAATAAAATAACATCATTCATACTATACAAACACAAAATAGACATCCATCTCATAATAATAATAATAATAAAATCAATCAAACATCCCCAATCATTACCATTCATTCATACAACAAATGATCAAATGATACATATTCTAATTACAATGTTAATAAATAGAGGGTTAGTGTAATAATAAACATAATACATTAAGTTAAGGGGCATAAAATTAAAGGACAGAATATTAAAGTGCTTGAAAAGTAAAAAACATTAATTAAAAGACAAGAATTTAAAGGATTAAACAAGATTTACATTCATCGCCTTGATGTTCATCTTGAATGATGAATACATACACCAATCATTGCTCTCAATCTTATTCTTATTGTTTATTTGATCCATTTGTGGCCAAATACGCATCCCAGACCACTTAAGGTTGGAGTTTGGCCACTGGATTTCTGAATCGGGGCCATTTATTGATTAATTCACATTCTGAACCTTTGAATCGAAGGGTCTGGCGCCACAGGGAAAGTGGCGTGCGCCCCACATAGTGGTGCAAGGCCCTTTCCAGATCAGGAAGGCTTCAGATAAAAACAGAGTCAAAAATAGGGATTTTAGGTTGATATGGCGTGAGCCACAAGCTTGTGGCACACGCCACTAGCTAAGGTTGTGCGGCACAGAGGCACAAAAGTGCCCTTGTGGTTGATCCTAGGTTTCCCTCAGCTAAACTCAAAATAGGTGCTTAAAACATCGAAAAGGAAAAGAAAGAGATTAAGGAATGAGTTAAAGTTCTCAGATATTATGTTTTGGTGATTTCCTTGAAGTTTAGTGCAAAAGATGGATGAAGAAACTCAAATACTTGGTTCTTGGTCCAATAATCTGAGATTGAAGATTAATGAATGTTTTTTTGGGACTTCTAACTAATCTTTGAGGGTTTTGATTATCAAAGAATAATGAAGCTCAACTTTGAACAAAGGGAAACACAAGTTGCCTTCAATTTCAAGGTTGAGCTTTCAAAAATCTAGAGTTTCCCCAAAGGTGTTAAAAATCCTCCTTTTAAGGCACACCCCCCAATTGCTATTTATAGGCAAATGAGAATGGGTGGCTCCTTTTTTAGGGCTGACGTGGCAAAATGCCATGGACAGGCCCCATCATTGGGCCCGGCCCATTTTTACCAAATCAAATTGGGTGGTATGCAAAATGAGACAGTGCACCGAAAAGTGCGTTGGGCAGGCCCGATGTGCTTCTTGGGCCCGGTTTCATCATGAAATGCCTAGTAACCCGAAAAAGTAAAAATGGTTAAACACATATATAATCTCAGCCACAGACCATTGGGATGAAAACTGGGGTGATCGGGAATTCCAATCCAAACTTATGTAAAAAGTGGTATATCATCACTGAACCTTTTAGGAGCAAAATTTGAGCGTTTATAGTTTGCCCCATTTGGCGATATTTTGCTTTTTAAATAAAATGTCATCAAAGTGTAAAGTAGACGCATAATTAAGAAAATAATTACCTGGTTTGCATTCCTTGAACGACTTGGATGGATAAAGTGTGCCATTTTGGCGGCCTTGTTGATGTGCATTGCCAGTTGGCGATTGTTAGGTGAGTAAATTGTGCCATGGTGATTGTTGATGACTTCTATGACTGTCTGCACCAAACGTCGGCTTTGATAAAATGTTGTGCGCCAAATGGTGGCTTTGGTAAAATGATGTGCGTAAAACGACATCTTAAAGTCTGAAATGCTCCATTGTGGGAGGATGTCCTTTGGACGGTGAAGGGCGGAGGAGATGCGCTATTGTGGTTGTCGGCGGTTTCTGCGACTGTTTGTGCCAAATAACAGCTTTGATAAAATGATGTGCGCCAAACGACAGCTGAAAGTCTGAAATGCTCCACTCTGGGAGGTTCTCCTTCGGACAATGAAGGGCGGAGGAGATGCACCATGGTGGTTTTCAGCGACTTTTGCAACTGCCTACGCCAAATGACGACTTTGATAAAATATTGTGCGCCAAACGACGAATTTGGTAAAATGCTGTGCGCCAAACGGTGGCTTTAAATCTGGAATGCTCCAGTGTGGGAGGTTGTCCTTTGGACAGTGAAGGACGGAGGAGATGCACCACGGTGGTTGTCGGTGGCTTCTGTGACTATCTGCTCCAAACGGCAGCTTAAAGTCTGGAATGCTCCAATGTGGGGGTTGTCCTTCGGATGGTGAAGGGCGGAGGAGATGCGCTATTGTGGTTGTCGGTGACTTTTGCGATTGTCTACGCCAAACGATGGCTTTGGTAAATGCTGTGCACCAAAAGACGACTTAAAATCTGGAATGCTCAACTGTGGGAGGTTGTCCTTTGGACGGTATGCCACTTGGGACGACTTGAGTGCGCCACATGGGACGGCTTTGGGTGCGCCACTTATGACGGCTTGGGTACGCCACATTGGGCGACTTTGGGTGCGCCACTTGGGATAGCTTAGGGTATGCG